AATTTTTATATTAAAAATGCTGCAGAGATAAAAACAAATTTAAATCAGGTCAGTATAACTAAGTATTAAAACCTGTAAATTTATGCTGGATGAAATGCCAGGCATCCTGTGTGGAGTAATTTAAAGTTTCTCTTGAAATCTCTTGTAAAATGAATAGTGATACTACTCAGCAAATAAACCATTAATGCTGAGAGCATTATAGGGCAAAGAAAAACATTACTTCTGAATTATAAATAGTATAAAATATCTGGCCATATTACTTTGGGGGATCAGTTGGCTAAATAGCACCAGATGTTTAGTAGCAATATAGATTTCCAATTCTTAATTTCAGAAGTTTTTTTAAAAAAAACATGTCTCATGATAGAATTGCTGGCAAACAGAGGAAAAGGATAAATTAAATCTCTGTGATACTCCCAAGGGTTGTAAATTAAATGTAGACCAAAATGGGCAGTTTTATAGGAGCAGTGATCCCTTTATAGCTTTAATTAAATGTCACTCAGTTGAATCAAATCTTTTTCTTCCAAACCCTTAAAAAGACTCAGTTTTTCCAAAGAAACCAAAAAAAAAATAAAGCTGAGAAGGGAAATCTCAACAAACAGACGTACAAAGTCTATGATATTGTAATTTGTATGCATTACAGAATCTGCATAGATATTATTTTGAGGAGTAGAATTTAAGAATCACCATCTCAGTGGGACACTGTTCTTTGATTTAGGTGCTTTCTCTTTCATATAACTCAGGTTTGGATTAACCAAAATGTTTAAAATTTCAGATAAGTACAATATACAATGTGTATTCAGTAGGCAAGAAGTTACAGTCATCTCCTTTGTACAAATTTCTGGGCGCTCAGGCATTATTTTGCCAGTCATTGCTAAACAAAAGAGCACTTTTCAAAAATTGATATTTTCAAAAGAGAAGTGGCTAGCATAAGCAAGCTTTTGTAAGAGTGTGTTTAATGTGGTGTGCCCCAGAGTTAGCATAAAACTGTGCAGCCTCAATCCAATCTACTATCCACTAGAGTAGACCTACTGAATGAATGGAATTTATCTAAAGAGGTCCTATTGATTCAGTGAGTCTTGTCTAGCTGGAACAAACTGGATTTATGCGTGAACTTGGAAAAATTATATTTGGGAACTATAGCTCCCAAAATTCCCCAGCCATCATGGCCAGTTCTGGGAGCTGCAGTACTTCGATTTGGGAAGTGGAACTTGTCCAAAAAGGCAGCATGTCCTACTTCTGCACTCTGCATCCCTGTTTATCTATTATATTTGAGCATGTAAATATAATCTCAAAAAATAATTTTTCAATTTCTGACAAAACCATTGTTCTATACTGGCAGGAAGTCGGACATATTTGCTGTCAAGTCAATTTTATGCACAAGAGATCTCCAAGAAGCACCTGGTCATCATGGTGAGGTCTTGCAAACTCAGGGTTGTGGCTTCACTTTGGATTGTCTCACCATAGGGTTTTCCAGGTAAAAGGCTTCAAGGATAGTTTAGCATTGCTTCTCCTGTGCCACATTAGCTCCTTTAGTTAGCTATGATGCCACTACAATTGACTCTGAAAAATTATCTGCCAGTGTCACATCCCCACTTCTGCTGCTACCCTGTAGCTGTTTGAATCCCTTACCAAAACTTAGAATCATAGAATGATAGAGTTGGAAGAGACCACAAGGGCCATCC